AGAGGGAAATCCAATACATTATCACTATCATCAACATGAAGAAGTCTAAAGAATTTCCAAAGAGATTACTGATTAATTTATTAATCGTCATATGATCCTAAGGTCCAATAGTCAACTGTCAGAGCTGAAACTCCATACATGTTGTATTATCTATCATAAGTTTTACCTTAAATCTGTAAAGATGACAATGTGTTCACAGTTTCCTTGATGACAGTAAAGATAAGGGTATCCAAGACGGATTGTCAAAGACTCAAACTTTGTATCTTCCATTCTCTCTACAGAAGATGATTTTAGCTTTGAAGCCCATGGTTCTTCGCTGTCTTTGGCCCAATCAATTAAGGACCTAAAAAATATTAATTCAAGTGTTACAATTAGCWAGCTATTGAGAAAAGTATTTACATGAACTGGTTAACTAGTACAAAGTCTCTTTTCTCCTCTTCTATGTTAGGGAGATTCTTATATTCTCTCAAGCTGTTTTTGTGTTGGGATGCCTGTGCTACCCAACACAGGGTTCCCAMCACAAAAATGTCTAATTTTGTGCWATGTTCTTATTACAATCACTTAGAAAAGACCACAAATAACAAATACAGTCATGTYACTACATACCTACTGTAATCTCTATTTAGTCCATCCCTCATGTCATTATAAAACACATTCTCAAAGTAAAAAAAGCCTGATTTGCAAATGTCCTGAAAATAGAAACAWAATAGAATTTAGATTGTCAATTATTATAACGAAATTCTATATATTACTATCTGTATTACTACGTCTCTTTGAGAACAGTATTTTCAAATAGTTATAACAGTAAGTTAGAACCATGGTTGATAGAGGGAGATTAACAATGTTAGAACRTTATACCTGGCATGGTGCTGTCTGGGAAAGATCTGGATTGTTGCTATGGTCACCAGGTACTATATAATCAGTGACACAGTGAATCTTGTCTCTTAGTGAAGTCAAAGTCTACAGGAAACAATTTGAACAAAGCATCAACATAAAAAATTTGAATTATCTTTGAATATATTCTATATGGGAACAAGAACAAGAGTATTGTCTCCTTTATCTGATATCCTTTTGCTGAGCTGAGCTGCCTGCTCTCCTTACCAAAAGGCTTTTCTTTTTTTACTTCAAACAGAAAAAATGTAAGAAAGGACAGGAATGAGAGGACACTGGTCAYTAGTGTCATTTGTCCAGTTCTTGAGACCCAGAACTTTTTATGCTGTCAATAGSTTTTATAAGATTCACTTTGTTTAAATTGAATTAAAATTAAAACATGGTTTCAAAAGTAGTTTGGTTCATGCTGCTCAACATGGAATAGAAAAATAGGAAATAGAACTGTCTTCATACCTGACCAGACAGGACAAGGAATTCCTGGACCTTGTTCAGCTGAAATTATGAAACATATCAATTTCAGACATTGACAATGAATTATTTCTTAGCATCAAATAATATTTTCTTAGCATAAAACCAAAGTTCTTTTAGCTGATTGACAGCCCACATATCAGTGAGTTACTAACTTCATTGAAAATTTGTTGTTTGGATTGGTTTCACAATAATCTATAATAATTAACAATTAATAAGTTATTACTAAATTAATAAATGTGATTATACCCTTCTTGGATGATGAATAGCAACAGACAACACGACCTCCACCTTTTCAACAGGAATTCTTTTTGTTTTTGAATC